GTTTTTGTTGTTAAAATTGCAAAAAGAAAAGAAGGGGTGGAAAGGAGAGGGGGAGGAAGGGAAGGAGGAAGACATTTTACACGTCGTAAATTTTTTTTTTTTTATGAAAAAAAACAAACAAAAACAACCATTAAACAATATTTAAATTTTTTTTTTATACATATAAACAAAAGGTACTTGAAATTTATTACGTTTAAAAAAAAAAGGTGATAAAAATAAAAAAACAAAACAAAAAAGTTTTTTTGTTGCGGATTTCCCCCCCCCCCCAAAAAAAAAAAACAAACAAAACGTTTGATTTTTTCAATTTTCAAAAAAAAAAAAAAAAAATCAATTAATTAAAATTTTGATTGTTTTTTTATTAAAAAAATAATTCAAACTTTATTTTATTATTTACAAAAATATTTAAAATTTAATAATAACTTTTTCCGCTTTCCCCCCTCTCCCTTCCCGCCAATTTTAACCCCCGTGATGATGATAATAATAATATAAATAATAAAAACAAATTTACGATAACGACACGACGTTGAAACAAAAAAAAAAAAAAAAATTTTTATGGATCCTTCAATACATAAAAGACAGAAAAAAATTAATAAATTTTTTTTTTTTTGTAGTCGATGCCGTTGACTAGTTAAAATATAAAAACCGCAAAAAAAATAATAATAATAATAAAATATTTTCCTTTCCTTTGTTCTAAATATATATATATAAAAAAAACGCCAAAATATCAAATTTATTTCATATAGAGAAAGAGAGAGAGAGTGAGAGGGAAAAAAACCCTCAAAAATTTATTTATTATTAACAAAACAAAAAAAAAAGGAAAAATGGAAAAAAAAGAAATTAAAAAAAAGGAAAAAAAAAGGAAAACTTTTTTTTTTTATCTCTTGTTAAAATGCATATAAAAAAAAAATCGCTTTTCTCAAAAAGGTAAAAAAAAAAAAAACATTTATTAATTTTTTGTTTATTGTTTGCATGTTATAAATAAAAATGTTTATTTAAAAAAAAATGGCGGAAAAACGAAAGAGAAGGAAAAACTATTAAAACCTACCGTCGACTGTTTTTCTTCTCATTTTGAATATAAATAAATAAATAAATTTTTTAACGTAAACAAAAAATCCTGGAGAAAAAGAAAACATAATAATTTATTACGTCTGAATCGCAATGCGAATAAAATTGTTTTTTTTTTCCTTTTTTCCTTTGATTTTATTTAAATTTTTTTTTCCTTTTTTTTCCTTTTTTTTTCCTTTCATTAAATTGTAAATTTAAAAAATTCCGTAAACAATTTTTTTTATTTTTAAACATTTTATTAAAGTCTTACTTTTTTTTACCTTTTGTAAATAATAATAATAAACTAAGGTTGCTTTTTTTTTAAATTGATAATAATAATAATAATTTTTTTAGTAATTGATCAACGGTCGCCATTTTTATTTTCGGTTAATGGTTGTTTAAACGAAAATGAATTAGGGGTTTTTTGTTTTAAAGGGTTTAAAAACAATCAACAAATTTTTCTTTCTTTCTGTTTTTTTTTTTTTTTTTTCGGGACGGTTAAATTTCTTTTGTTTATATCCTCGTAAAAACTTTCTTTTTTTGGGAGGAAGGGGGGGTAGGAGGAAGGGGGTTAGTTTTATTATAAAAGGTTTTTTTTGTGAAAAATTGACTTGATTACGTTGAAATGTTAAGACACTTTATCGGTTTATGACTCTTCTAACAAGAAACTACAAAACATGTGACCCGTTTAACCGATGATAAAAGACATTTTATTTATTTATTTTTTTTTTTTTAATAAAAGGTTTTTATGTTATGACTTCCGTTGAGCCCACAAAATTTAATTCATGTAAATGCAAAAACCTTTTTCTCTCTATCTCTCTCTCTCTTTTACTAAGGGAAAAGAAAAAAAAAATTATTATTGTTATTATTATTATTTGCGGGCGATCATATTTATTTAAAATTTTTTTTTTTTTTTCAATTTCAATTTAACGAATAAATAAAATAAGTTTTTTTTTTTTTTTTTAATAACAAAGTACTTTAACAAAGATTTTAACAATGTTTTTTTAATGTCGTTTAATAAAACAAAATGGCGGCAATTTTATACGGAGTGTATTTTATGCGTGAATAAAACCAAAAAAAAAAACAGAAAAAAATTTTGTTTTTAACGTTTACACAAATAATTTTTTATCGTTTTCTCTCTCTCTCTCTCTCTTTCCCTCTCTTTCTCTCTCTTTCTCTCTATTTCTCTCTCTCACATTTGAAAAAAATTTAAATTAATTTTATGTTAATAATATTAATAATAATAATAATAATAATACGTAATTTATTAATTATTTATTAAAATTTTTTTTTTTTGGAAAATTTTTTTTTTTGCATTTTATTTTTCTTTCTTCTGCCCCCCCTTTTTTTCTCTTTTTTTTTTAACTTTATATAAAATTAATGTTTTTGTTTATTACGTACATACATAAAAAAA